GTAGTTCAGTATCATAGTTTAGTGTAGTAATTAATTTATAAAATTTGTTATTTTCGATACGTGAATTTGTGCAAACTCGAAAAAAGGCTAAATCTCGTGTTAATTTTAAACTATCTAATGGACCTCACCGAAAAGGTATTGTTCGAACAATGGTTTTTAAAACACCTAAAAAGCCTAATTCAGCTTTACGTACTATTGCTCGCGTAGGTATTTATAATAATGGAAGATTAGCTTTAGCTCGAGTTATGGGTAGTGGACGAATCCCACAAAGATATAATAGAGTTTTATTGAGAGGAGGACGAGCAAATGATGTGCCTGGTATTCGAACAACACTTATTAGAAATGTTTATGTTGCATGTTTAGATAAAATATATTTAAAACAGGTTTTAGTAACTCAATTGGTAGAGTGTAAGACTGAAGATCTTAAGGTTGTTGGTTCGAGTCCAATCTAAAACAAATTAAAATATTAAAGGTATTTTTAATTTTTTAAAACTCAGTATAAAATAAAGTAGTGTAATTAATTAGATTATATTAAGCATAGTATGAGTTTGACTCTGGCTCGAAGTGAACGCGAGCAAAATATTTTGACACATGCTAGTTTATATATTTAAATTTTATTAAATTTTTTAAATATATTAAATAAACGGGAGAGTAAAGGAAGCTAGCTAAATAAAAGATTAAATATTTGATTATTTAAAAAAATTAAGTTAGGATATAGCTTTAATTTTAATTGATTAATGGGAGGAATAAATCATAGTTAAATTAGAGATATATATCTATATTTGGCTAGTTTCTTGGATTAAATTATAGTTTTTTAACTAGTTGATGATTTCTAACTAGACTGAGAGGTTGTCTAGTCTCACGGAAACTGAAATAAAATTCCGCCTTTGGCAGCAGTGGGGAATCTTGGTCAATAAATAAAAATTTGAACCAGTGTTTTGCGGAGATGAAAGCATTATAAAATAATGTGTGAAGGCTAAAGCAGTTGTAAAATCTGTTCGTAACTTAGTATTATGAAGTTATAGTTGAAGAGAATCCTAGGCTAACAAAGTGCCAGCAGCTGCGGTAAGACTTTGAGAGGGGAGCGTTACTAGTCATGATTGGGTGTAAAACATAACTAGGTATTTTAGATAATAATTATAAAAAAAAAACAGCAATTGTTTATATAATTAGACGTCTAATTCTTTTATTGAAATTGAGTTAATGGGTTTGTAAGTGAAAAGATAAAATTTGTTGATACTAACAGCACCTTCAGAGGTAAGACGATTAACTGTTTTAAATAGAAACTTAATTATTAAAGTATGGAAATCAAATAGGATTTGAGACCCTAGTAGTCCATACCCTGAATTAGGAGTAACAAAAATAATTTAACAAAAGTTATTCTACCTGAAGATTATGGCTGCAAAGGCAAAATTTAAAGAGATTGGCGGGAGTTTTTATAAATGGTGGAACATGTGGTTTAATTTGATAATCCGCGGTACATCTTACCAGCGTAGATTTTTAATTTTAAACTATTTTTTATACAAATATGTTGAAAATCTAAAGTATTGGCATTGCATGGCTGTCGTCAGTTTGTATTGTAAGATAATGAACACAACCTTGTTTATTAAGCTAAAAAATATATAATATACTTTATAATATGTATTATTAATAGATTTAAAAAAATAATTTACGGTGTTCGGGGCAAAACACTAATGATTATTTTTTTAAAGTTATTGATAATACTGAATTAATATATAGAAATAAATTTATAGTTTGATAATTAATATTAATTAAAAATATAATATAATTATTATTATAAAAAAGGGGAAGTCAAGTCATTATGATCTAAATACGTTGGGCTACACACGTGTTACAAGGGCAAAAACAGAGGYTTTATTTTTGAAAAATTACAAAATTGCTTAAAAATTGTCTTAGTTCGGATTATTTTTTGCAATAAAAATATGAAGCAGGAATCATTAGTAATCAGAAATAAGAATGTTCTGATGAATTTTAATTGAACTTTGCACACACCGCCCATCACGTCCGAAAAGTCTGGTACTCTTAAATTTTAGTATGAGTTATGTTTTAAGTTTTTTAAAAAAAACTAAAGCAGTGCTATTGTGAAAGATATAGGGCAATTTGGATGAAGTTGAAACAAGGTAATGGTAGGGGAACCTGTTGTTGGAATAGAAAAATTTATAAACATATATTGAACTTAATCAAGTTTTATTTAATTTACTTTTTAGTAATTTTTTGAAATTGTAAATTGTAAGATATGGATTTTTAGAAATGATGAAAATTAAAAGTTTTAACAAAACTATAATTTTGCTAAGCAATTGGAAATGCAGGGAAGCAAAAAATTAAATAAAAAAATCGTAAATTGAATCATCTTAGTAACGATTTTAAATTTCAAACGAATTTTGCAGTAGTAAGTGGCGAACGAAACTGCAATAGTCTTAAAAAAATTAAAAAAATTATATTATAAAATAGTCAAAAACTATTATACTATAAAAGGTAGTAGTCCTTGTTTAATATGGTTTTTTTTTATATTTTGTGTAAAATAAGAATTATAATTTTAATGTTTGTATGATTAAATGAAGATATTTTTCATACGAGTGAAGATTTCTTTAAATTAACTAATATAAATTTAGAGGAAGCATTACAGAGTTCATGAACTGAATTATTAAATATCTTTTTATTAAATTGATATTTAAATATTTTAACAACAAAACTAACTATATTTTCTTTTTTTGATTTTTTATTTGTTTCAGATTTTATAATAGTTTTTGATCAGAATAAATATTTAGATTTTAAATTATTTTTTTTAGTTGATTTAATTTATGAGACTTTTTTTATTTTTACTGAATATGTTTTTAATTTTATTTTATCAACTAATGGATTTGATTTTTGTTTTTTTTCTACTTATGAAATAATTTATGTTTTTATACTTAATGATTTTATTTTTAATTTATATATACAAAATTCATGATTTCTTTGTATTTATGGTTTATACGATATAATTAACTTAAATATGCCTTTTAGCTTTAATTTTGAATTTAATTCTTATTTAAATAAACTATGACTTATATTATTATGTAGTTTTTGAATAATACAAACTATGCCTACATCATTTAATAATTTTATATATTTATATGTTTATCGTATTTATTATACATTTAGTAATTTTTTGTTGATAAATCGTTTTTCTTATGAGATAATTATTTTTTTTGTTTATGCTTTTATTTGATTAATTTTATTAATATTTGCTGAAGAAATAATTTCGGATTTGATTGATCTGACACATTTTTTTTATTTAATAGTTTTATTATCTTGGATAATATTTTTTATTAGTAAATATTCTATACATATTTTTTCTTTTTTTGAGAGTTCTGTTAGTGAAACAAAAACATTTTCTTCATTATTTTTTCAATTTATACGTGATATTACTAATAGTTTTGCTTTTTTTCTTAGAATCGGCCTTTTATTGCTTCGTTTAAATGTTTATGATTGTTTAGATGATTTTTTAGATTCATATTATATATTTATTGATGATTTTGAAGAAGATAATATTAGTGAAGAATTTAGTGCTGGAACAAGTATTTTTTTTTTTAATGATAATTTATATGACACTAATTTAGTTGATAAATCAGAATCAGACACTGTTTTAAACTTTTTTAGTTTTTATTTTATTTTATGAGGAAAATTATTTTTTTTTTCAATATA